CTGTTTGGATGTCCCTTTGGGCTCTGAAAAACCTGGGGATTAATCTGAATCCTGAGTCATTCACCTGACAAAATCCACACAGAACTGTACAGACCAAATCTTCTTAACCACAAGAACAATGAGGCTAGAAAAGAATATCGTAACAACCCATCTTGCATTTTCAGACTAGCTTTCAGTTCTTTTTTAAATTTTCTGCAAGAACTGGTAGCATGTTGATTGCACTGACACATACAGGTGAGTCTCACTCCCCCAGTCTCACAGTTTATGATTTTTGTTTCATTCGCTGTGACACCACAGAAGGTGTGTCCCACTTGGTGAGCAATTTAGAGCTATGAAAAGCAATATAACTATCTCCCCTTGCAAGTTTTCTAAGCTTGGTATTGTAATGATGCTGTTTCTTGCCCTGGAGCAAATTATGCAGTGTAAACTACCTTGATAACTCTCAGAGCCAGAACATACTGAATTTAATTCGTCCCCCCCTCGTCCCCCCGTCCCCCCCCCGTCCCCCCGTCCCCCCCGTCCTCCCTACCAGTTTTCCTAAAGTAGCCAACAAGTGTTTCTTTTCCCATGGAACCCACCAACAACTCCTGCACTGCAAACAACATAGAGTTGAGCCACTGCATTCATCATTGTGTATGAACCAGTCATAAATTTTACATGCTTTGTCTAATATCCAGCAGTTCATACTTGGGTCACTGCCTTTGCAGAGATGTCGTGTAAAGGGATTGCTTTAGGACATTCCGTTGCACAGCAAAACCAGCACAAAACATCTTTTTTTCACACTTTGGTGAGACCTCTATTTATGGCAAAGGATCTTTTGGAATTGATTATTAACTAGTTGTAATTCGGGACATATTAGCACAATACAACACAGCCCAGGTCGTTATTCTACCCTGAGTTTTATCATATCTCATTTAACCAGCCATCAAGTAAAATAATTTTCTGGTGCTTTTTCTTCGCCAACAACTGAGTGATTTCTTCTTCATGTTCAGTCTCGTGGCATTACTCTATACAGTCTATAGAGACAGCAACTGATGTCGTCATCAGGTAATACTAAAAAAAAAAAAAGACAAACTCTGGAGACTCTAACTCACCCACAAAGTCTGGATTTTATTGTTTTATTGTCATAACATTTTTCTGTTGAAGAGTGAACTGGTTTGCAGTAAAATAAATTGACCACAAGGTGGAGACAAACACAAACTGAACTTAAAGATGCAACCAGCGATGAACAGCCAGCAGTTTGTGGTTTTGTGACTGTACAGGGTGGGCCATTTATATGGATACAC